TCAAGATAAAGCGGCGGCACACTCCGGGCTTCTCCCAGGTGATCGACTTAATCGGCGAGTCTTTAATTTTCTCGATTTACTCAGATCTTAAACGCTCGGCTTGACGGGCAAGGCCCTCCCTCGGGAATCGGGCGGGACGGACGACTTACGACGTCGAAATCCCGTAGTCTCTCGGAAAGTCAGAGAGGTGAAGAAGGATTATCGGACTCGAAGTTAGAGTTTGCCGGAGGTTTCGAGAAACTCCACCGCTATTGTGATACGAAAATTACTTTCTTCCATAAAAAAAAAAAAAAAACAATCCTATTTGAAAGAAAGGAAATTATAGAAAGGAGTTTATTTATTGTGCGCGAATTTTGCGGACGAAACTTCGAAAATATTGTATTACAGATACGCGCGACAAATGCTTCCCCCCCCCCTTCCCCATTCTTCCTGCTTACACAAAAGATACATTAGCGGAAGTAACTTCGCGACAATATACAAAAGAGCTTCTTTCTTCTCTTTCTCCCTTTTCTTCCAGTCCCTTGTCGATGACGGCGCGAAGCGCTAAATACGAGCGGCGGCAGCGGCAGCGGCAGCGGCAGCGGCGGCGGCGGCGGCGGAGAAAAACGAAATAAGCAAGTGCGGCAACACCCGCAGTGGGAACAAGGTCGAATGCTCCCTTGGCCTCTTCGCAGGATGCTCTCTCTGGCTAATGTCGAGATAAATGCGAATTTCCTGCGAGACGGGGAAAACACGCGAGGGCGCGGGAAGGGGGAGGGGGGAGAGGGGGAGGAAGGGGGCGCGAGAAGAAAAATATTGTTTGCCGATGGAAAACTGGGGCGCAGATCCTGCGAAGGATGGAGGACGAGTGCTTCCGACCAACGAAGGCGTCACGCGGACTGGACGCGGGGCGGAAGGGGGATGTGATATCGCGTTGGAAGAAGCGCCAAAAGCGCGGCTCTCTCCGTGCTCCACTAGGATGGCTTGCCAAAAATTTACCGAGGCTCAGGATTCCGTTTTTAGAGCGGAATTAAGGCGAGGAAGCTTTTAGAATAGGGTTATTTAAACCGGGTCACACACAGAGAGAGAGAGAGATTCTCCTCGCACGACTGAGAAAGCGAGAGAGATTCCGTCAAACGCGCGCCGCAGTTTGTCTATCGACGTAGTTTTTTTTTTTTTTTTTTTTTCAGCACGATGGACTCTACCAACGGCTCGGAGATAATTTTTTTATACGATTTAGTTTTTCGAAGGTATATACATTATTAATTTTTGCACTCTTCTTCTCAGCGCTTTGCTTCGTTTCCTTCTCTCGCAAAATTTTTCAATCATCTCGCGACTCTCTTTCAGGATCCGATTTGTTTACATCCGCGAGAGAAACTTGACTACTCTCTCGTCTGTGCGCGAAAAAAAAAAAAATAAGGTAAGGTAGGAAGTATACAGAAAGTTCGCCGCCTGTGTGTGTACGACCTTCAAAGTTTACCGTCTTTAAAATATAAGCTATTAAGTTTCGCGGCGGCAGCTGTGCACTAAATGCAAATTTAAGCGAGGTTTAATCTCTCCCGGAATCTCCGCGGTCCGCGGCTCGTTTCATCAGTTTCGCGATGCTCGCGCCGTATGTGTGTGTATGCAAATATTCTCGAAACACACATTTCCGATTTCACTCATTCGTTAAGAAAACGCTCGTTAAACACCGCTCTCCGATTGGCGCGACGTCTCGTCTGAGAGTAGTCCTCCCTAGTTATTTAGAGAAGAGCTCGAGTCTCTACCAACCCTGGCATGGTCGTGTTTGATGTTTACATCGATGTCGATCCGGAGGGGATTTCGCGATCGGTTTCTCGAGCGACTGTTACTTCCGGTCCACGGTGTTCTGATATTGCCATCGCGATCGCTCAATGTCGTGCGCATAGCTTTAGGCCAAACGAGAACGAGAGCTCGTTATCGTGGATGAATTGAATGCATCGGGGACGACGACAGCGACAGCGAATTCAACGCGACGCCGGCTTACGGCCCGCGTCCGAACCATCCATCTTGCTTCGGACGGTTGTCTCCCTTCTCTGATAATGCCGAAGATATCGGTCCAAGGAGCCCGAGTGCGGGCGCTATCGGCGGAAAGCTGCGGCGGCGTCTTTCTCTCGAAGTTGAACCACCACACGAGAGGGGCTGCGATACGTACACAGTTTTATTTTGTTTCCAATTCGGTGCCGAGCCATCGCTGCGGGGAGACATCGATCCGGGGGGTTCGAATTTTCGCGAACATATATAGCTATTTTTAAGATAACGATTGTTCTACCAGATGTTATAACAAATTGTCATTGTTCCGCGAAAGTCTCGTAAAAATATGGAACGATAATATTTTACCGAAAGAAAAAGACAATATGAATTTTGCACATTGTTCCCGAACCAGCAAGGAAGTTTTGTATGAAGAAGAAGTAAAACGAAAACGTGGAAAAACAAACGAAACGTTTCCCGATGGCTCGGGAGAAGAATGACTTTGTCTTATTGTGTAAAATTATTATTTGTGTCGATTTGTTAATTTCAAAAACACTCTGCGCATTTCGACCATCGAGTTTTTACACACACACACACACACATTTTTAGATACGTACCAAACGCGCATCGTGCGACTGACATCCTGCCCTCGTTTCTCGAGACAAATTAATATTGCGCAAAAACAAAAACAGAAGAGAACAATCTTAATTAGATTGGATTCCATTAATCACGGTTATAGATTTGCTCGGGAGAGACAGGCTTGTATTTCCTCCGTCCGATTCCTTCAACATTCAAGACTAATTTTACACTTCTCGCGCTCTGATCTCGTATCGCGCGCGTTTGGCGAAGTTTCGCGCGACCTCGAAAAACCCTCCCCCGACCACTTGGCTCGTCTCGTTTCGGAAATATATGTGTCTCGCCGTAGAGCGCGATTAGTCGAGAGAGAGTTTCCTTCCTCCGACTGTTACCGAATTTATTAATTTCGCGTTCGTTCGTTTTGCGAGACGCGTTTATCGTAAATACACGTCCTCTATCCTAAGTTTCAACAGATTAGAAAGCTAGCCTTTTCGAGAGTCCGCCGCCGCCGTGGTCTTTCGCGAAAGACCGTGCGCGCACAAATTTCATTCGCGCGAACTCGGAAAGCGGAGTTCTTTGCCACACTTGCGCTCGCGCAAAAACTTTTACATAATTCAGACGCACAACTTTGCGCAACTTAGTCGCGCAAAATATATAAAAGTTCAAACGTTCTCGCGCGCAATAATCACATATTTGTTATTACACTTCGATGACAAACGTTAATTAACGAACGCGAACTCATTTTGTACACTGAGAAAAAAAAGTTGGCGAAGTAACAAAATAGTATTCGATTCAACTATATGCAGCGATCACGGGCTGTCAATAAAATATTGATTAATGTAAGAAGATATCATGTTTCAATAGATATAATAATTAGATCATACCGAAAGACAATTTAGTTGTTTTAACGAAATTATAATTTGCTTAAATACAGGTAACTTTGAATGCACAACGCAATAGGACAACACAATATTTTGTCCGCTTATAAAAATAAGCAGTTTGATTAGATGAAATACATTAGTACAAAGAAATTCAGATTATATTCAATTAAAGTAAATGAGAATTGCCTATTTCATCTTTTTTAACAGTATCTTTTGTTTGAAATTATCACAATTTATGTTCGACAAAACAATTCATGGTTTTAGTGAATTAAATATGTTCATTACCACTATTGTTAATTCAACTTATACGAATTTGTTATCTTTATTACCATATGCTTGAATTAAAAAAACCAAGTATTTCAGATAAACAAACTGAAACTCTAACTAAACGCATTTAGTTGAGTTAATAGTATTTTTTTCTCAGTGTAAGACTCTCACTTGATATTATTCTACTATATATTTTATACGAGTATATTATACTCATATAAAAAAAGTTGTATAATTATATACGAGTAGTTTAATTATTTATATATTGTTGAATACGAGATTAGATAACAGTTGATCAAAAGCCGAGCCATCAACCGTCAGTTTGAAGCTCAATCAATCTATAACTAATTTTAATCGCAATAGTAAGAGAAAACAGGCGTAAAAAAAATAACAAAAAACAATTGTGTAAAGAGAATAATTGCCTAACATAATTTTTAATTATTCTCTTTACACATTTGTTTTGTGTTATTTGTTTTTACGCTTGTTCTCTTGCTATTGCGATTAAAAATTAATTAACAGATTGATTGAGCTTCAAATCGACAGTTGACAGCCGTGTGCCTCGCCTTTTTCGATTATTAACTTTTACGTTATCTAATCTTCATATATTCGCAACCGCATTATTCTCAGCACACTTTTTACGTAAAACCGCGCACTTAATAACGCTATTGTTATTATGATTAATATAACACACGTATAAAAAAAAAACCTGAAGTAAAACACAAACGAGATTGTTTTGGCAGATACTTTTTAATATCCGAGCGCCAAAAGCCGCGAGAGAGTGGCACTTTAATTTGCAAAATGTCAGTTTCGCTCGCTATGCTTGTGTGTTGCGCAACACACACGCAATCTTTTTATGTGATTCCAATCGTTCGTAACGCTTTTCGCTTTACGCTTCGTTGTATCGTGTTCCGTTAACTGTTTTGCCAGCGTTGTGAATGTGATCTATATAAAGTTAGCCCCCCTTCCTCCCTCCAAACAAAAACATTTAGCTAATTATAATGAAGAGTTTTGAAAGATTTTTCAACCGGAAATATAGTTTTTTCAATATAGGGAGGGGGAAGGGCAGCTAAACGTCGTCAAGTTATAGCCCACGTTGACTTTGATTTCAATTTTCTGCCAAACGAGTCGAGCATCTCGAGTTTTTAAATCGAGCATCTGATTAGCATTTAATTAGCACTTAAATTTTTGTAAATAAATGCGGATGTGTTTTTATCTGAGAAGCGGGGATTATATATACATTATATACAACTAATTAGACACACGTTCGAATGTGTGAATGCGCTCGAGGAGCGCGCGAATGTGACTTACCCTCTCGATATGGCCGCTGCTGACTACCTCCGGCGTGTTATCGCAAACCACCCCTTTCAAGCGCAGTTTGTTAACGTGAAAGGCCGAGCCGTAGCAATACATGAGCACCATCGTCGTTGGGAAATAAAAACAGCAACACGCCAGAATTCTGAAAAAAAACAAAAAAAAACAAAAAAAAAAAAGATAAAAGAGTAACGATAAAGAGGTATTTTCCGGTCTAGAAGAGAGCGGTCCAATTAACGCGCGTGTCACACACGTAGCGAGCAGAGACGACGGGCTGCACAAAGAGACGCGTTGCGGCGAAGACGATATCGCATGCAATAAAATCGTATTTGTACAAGCGCACGTTGTATATAAGCGCGGAAATCTCTCGTGTGACACGCGCGCGAAACTTCACCGAAGCGCTCGAATCGCTCGCATCGGTAATGCAATTGAAACAGTTTCTGTTCGGCGCATTTGTTCCGGTTTCTCGCTGCGAATTAACGCGCTACGCTATCTCTCTCTCTCTTTCTCGCGCGCACGAATAATTATACCCGTTTTTTTTATTGAATTAAAGCTTTCCGCGTTTATTTTTTTGCAGCGTTTAACGAAAAAAACAAAAAAAAAACACCAACGTAAGAGAAATCCTATTTCAACTACTTTAACAGTCTCTTAGCTATCGGCGCGAGATATAAATGCGTTACGTTTGAAAAAAAAAAAAAAAAAAAAAACGATCTTTCTCGCGTTTATCGCCGCTTCAAGGATCGGAAAAACGTTTAAAAGGCCCGGGAAAAGGCGAGACTCGGCGGATATCTCTCTCACGGTTGATCGCCCCGCTGCCGATCGGTGTGTTAGATTGCAATTGCGCGCAATTGGCGGAGCGACGTTGGTTGCGGGATCGTGAAAGGGTCGGTGCTCTTATCGGCGACCTTGGGCGATACCTAAGAGACGCCCTTGCGAAGAAAGGATCGCAGGCGAGCAAGCCGGACCCGTTGAAGTAGTAACCGCCTCTGGGTAGAACCAGGACCCCGAAAATCGCCACGCTCGCGATCCACGTGGTCGACATCACCGCCACGCAACCCTGCCGCATGTAATACTGCGTCAACACAGACAAAAAAAAGAAAAAGCGATCACTATCTCGTCACCTCTGGTTACGCTTCTGTAAAAATCCTGAAGAGTGTGTGTGCGTGTGTGTGTTTGTGTTACGTACGTGTGCATCCGAATGTTGTTTATCTTCTTTTTTCTCGTTTTTTTCCGTTCTTGTTTGCGCACATTCCGCATTTCGCGGCGCGGCTCTATCATCGCGAGTTTGTTTATTCAAACGATTATGCTCGTGCGCCACTTTCATCGGGAAATCTGTACGAATTCTCTCCCAATCAAACTGTATTTTTACAAAGCGTCTAATATTGGCGTGTGTTTGAACAACCGATGTGCAACATACTCGTATGTGCTCGCGCGCGCGCATTTAAAAATTGCGCGCGATTTTACGTGCCGCTCAAAGCGCGGTGTGCGCGCGCGTGCAAACGGAGCAGTGTGTTCCGTGTTAGAAACATATATCAAAATACAAATATATCGTTTCGCGCAAATATTGAAGTAAAAATATAATATGAAAAGAAGAGAGAAAACGTGACATGGATGTTTGAATCATCTGTGTGTGCGTATCTCACAAATTAAATATTTTAACTTTTCCTCGCGCTTACATTGCGCTCCGATGATTTTGTATTTAAAGAAGCGCGATGGGCAACACGCACATCACAATACACGTTTCGCGTATTTAAAACCGCACAAAGCTTGTAAAATTTGCAAGAGAGAGATTTATTTTCTCGAAAGAGAAAGTAAATAACAATTTCGCTAAAAGTTAGCTTCGAACGTTATTCGAACGCGTCTTTCCGGACGCGTGATACATTTCAACGCGCGCGATAAATCTTTTTTTCCCGATCAAATCTCAGCAACAAAAGAATCGATTTTATCGACGGAATCTGATCTTTTACGGTTGCGAAGACGGTGTGTTTACACCGAAAAAATTGTATTCTTGTTTTGAGGAGATATCCCACTTACTTTAAGTATATTTTATACTAAAATAGGTGCCAAGAAGAGTTTCTTATTTTAAGAGGAAAATCCTCTAAATAGTAATATTGATAAGAATATATACTGATTAGAATATAAAAAGCCTCTATAGAAAAACATATATATCTCACTATCGAAAAAGATTATATTCTTAAATTAAGAATATATTATTAAATAAAGAATATATTCTTAATTTCAGAAGAATATCATCTAAAATCTTTAAGAAGATTTTTTAAGTATAAAATCTTCTACTTACAAGAATATAATTTTTTCGGTGTATATATATATATATACACGTACACCGAAAAAATTGTATTCTTGTTTTTTTGAGGAGAGAGAGATATCCTACTTACTTTAAGTATATTTTATACTAAAATTATCTTATTTTATACTAAAATAGGCGCCAAGAAGAGTTTTCTATTTTAAGAAGAAAATCCTCTAAATAGTAATATTGATAAGAATATATACTGATTAGAATATAAAAGGCCTCTATAGAAAAACTTATATATCTCACTATCGAAAAAGACTATATTCTTAAATTAAGAATATATTGTTAAATAAAGAATATATTCTCTTAATTTCAGAAGAATATCATCTAAAATCTTTAAGAAGATTTTTTAAGTATAAAATCTTCTACTTACGAGAATATAATTTTTTCGGTGTATAAGTATTATCGAGATTAGACGAAGTTCTCGTTCCCCCGATTCTCGATCAGCGAAAATAACACACACCCGATCTGGTTATTTATAAAAAAAAAAAAAAGTCTGTGAATGCTACGTCTTTCTTTCTTATCACAGTCTCTGTTCGCAAAAAAGTATTATACTTTTCTATCTCTACGAAGACGGAACCTCCATTAATAACAAACTGCATTGCGAACTTTTGAATGTACCATCGAAGATGTTATCGGTCCGCGTAAACGCTGCGAAGTATAAAGACGTGATATTCGCCGCGCATTGTGAATATTTACAAAGGGAATAAAGACCAAGTTTTGTCGTTGAACTTCGAACTAAATACGGGCTGTATAAGATTGTACTGTAAATATACGGATGAGGACGCGCGGTAATAACTCGAAGAAGCTTTCTTCTTGTCGAAAAACTAGCGTGCCGTGAAACGAGCAAACGCGAATAATAATAACACACGCGAAAGACTCGTGAAATAAAAAGATATAGAATTTTACGCTTCTCTCGTTTAATGAGTTTGTAAATTTTTTCTGGATTACAATAGCGAACGCGTAATTAAGCGAAAAAAAAAAAATTATATTCTTCAAAAATGCGAGATAAACAATCGCGGTGAAAATTCAACTTCCGAAGTCATTAATAAAAGTCAAACAATGAGTTGAGAAAACTATTTATAATCTCGGGGAAAAGAGGAGAGAATGAATATTAAGTCTCTGTGAAAATCGAAATCGATGAGAAGCAACAGCTCCTCATCGATCAGGGAGCAAAAAAAAAAAAAAAAAAAAAAGACAGAGGTGAGGACCGCCAGAAATTCGATGAGCGGCTGAACGTCCGATAGGCGGAAAATTACGGGAATGAATAGAAGACACGACTCAGCGATTCTCGAATTTTTTTTTCTCTTTGAGATTTTTATTCGCTACACTTCCTCCGTGTCTCTCGTCTCGGCGATTGTGCACATAGCGCTTTTATTACGGAGACATAATAGAAATATGTTATTTGCAACGCGTATTATTCATTTATCGTCGAGAAACGAACAAAAAAAAAACAAAGCAAGACGCGAATAAATCGCGCAGAATTTAATTTTTATCCCGTTCACATTTGCGCGAATATATATTGCGGTTTAAGCAAATTAGCTAAAACACACGGATATCTCTCATTTACTGTCTGTAATCAAATTTATTTTACCTTATCCCACACAGCAATAAGTAAAATTAATTTACTCTCGCATAGAGCAAAGAGTATAATTCCGAGCGTCGGTGTCTCCGGCCATGTGTGTCCCCGTTTTCTGCATTCACGCATAGATTTTCCTCCGGGAAATATGTTACTTCTCCCGCAATCGTCGTCGTTTTCGCAACGAACCGCGCGGAACTGTGAGATACGCGGCTAGGGGTGAACGAAGAGCCGCGCGCGCGCTGGCACTTTGCATTCTGATGCGCTTTTAAATCTCCTCCTCCGAAATTCATTTCGGCGGTTAAGCCAAGGTAAACCGACGCGCGCACGTCCCGAGCTTTCGGCAAACGCCGGTGTGAAACCGCAGGCATGTTAACTGGAACCTCCGGGAAAGGATCTCCGCTAATATCATTCGTAAACTTCCGCAGTCGCCGTCGTCGTCGTCGTCGTCGCCGCCGCCGCCGCCGCCGCCGCACAAAAGTTGCTTTTCTACCAGTCGCTTTTGTTATCGCCGCGCGTTCGAAAATTACTGCGGATTATAACGTGACCCGTCAGCAATCAACAAGACCCGCGAGTTTCCGCGAGATAATCTGGACGGTTTAAAGAGCGCTTTCCGACGGGACGGGGGTTTCAGGCGAAAGCTTTAATCTTCGAGCGCGCAAGAAGATCCTAAAGTCTCTCTTGTGTGTACTTATGGGCAAATTACATCCGTATGCAACGCGCGGTCGCGCGTCAAACGATCTTCCGCCGCGCATCGTCTTTCGAATTTTACTCGCGAAACAAAAATGTCTTTTTGCAAATAAAACGTAAACGTATCAATCGAGATACATCTCCAGACCTTTACGATCACCGAAAAAATGATATTCTCGCAAGTAGAAGATTTTATATTTAAAAAATCTTCTTAAAGATTTTAGATGATATTCTTCTGAAATTAAGAATATATTCTTTATTTAACAATATATTCTTAATTTAAGAATACAGTCTTTTTCGATAGTGAGATATATATGTTTTTCTATAGAGGCTTTTTATATTCTAATCAGTATATATTCTTATCAATATTACTATTTAGAGGAT